GGAGTGTATTCCACTCTCTTACTCTGTCCCTGATAATTTGAACCTCTGACTGCATTTGTCATGGCCGACACATTCGGACCATCACAGTTAGATTCAGGGGAAAACTCCATGGCTCATATTCGATGATTGCATCGATAATAATGACAGAAATCTTTGTGTCCATCCGCCTGCAGCCTGCAGATTTGAGCACACAGCTGCCACATTCTGCTGCGCTTCCCACAGATATCCACACTGCTGAAGGTCACAAGTACTGAGAGAAAAATCTCTTTTCTTCCTACTCAAGTTTAAGGCAACTCTTAATAATCTCCAGCACTTTATGGGGAAAGTTTGATTCCTACAGGACAAGCTTGTCTCTACTTCATGTGTTAATTTTCACAGCAAGGACAGGACAGTACTTATCAGTGCTCATGTCTATTTTAGGGGGCCTTGGCTGAAACAAACTGATCAACAATTTCAAATGTGAATACAAAGTGATGACTCGCACGGTGCTTTGTTGGAAAAACTAATATACAGTAGGAGTGTGAAAAGTGTGAATTTTTTGTGCTCCATATCGCCCCCCTCTGGTGACTGAAATCCCACTTACTCAATAATAAAAATGGCATCAAATTGTGGAGATGCTGAACTGAATTTGTGCGTATCATAAACTTTTATTTCCCCACATTTATTTTTATGTGATGATCTAAAAAGCTCTGTAAAAATCTCAATATGTTTCTGTTGAGGAAACCATGGCGATGCCAATTTCTGCACTGACTGGCTAAATAAAGATGAAGGAGAAGCTCAAAATCAACCATAACTGCGAAAAAAGCTGGAAACTGAAACCTTTTATTAAACTGCTTTATTCAAAGATCTGTTTGTGTGGAGACGGAGAGGACAGAGCAATTTTTACTTTCCTGCTGAGAAGAAGAGTCGTGAAAGCTTCACCACAAAAAGAAAGAAAAACATAAATTAACATTTGAATCGAGGAAGTTGGAGCGCCCTGCTGTGCAGTCATATGAAAGCATCTCTTCCTCCTTCAGCACAGAAAACAGAAGAGGGTCAGTCAATCGGAGTTTAAGTGTTTGGATAATTTCCACGTGACCCTAGAAACCATTATGCTGAGAGGGTATGAGTGCCGTAAAATGGCTCCAGTAAGAGCAGAGAAAAGAGGCTTTTAACAGCAATTACAGCAAAGCGGGCACTCGTCATTATTAGTGGCAATGGTAAACTCTGTGTGAGCAGCCAGCTCACGGGCAGCACAATCAAGCATCTCAAAGTTTCTTAACTTTGCTCCTATTTCTTATTT